CCAAAAATTAAAGACCACTCATTTTTTAGTTGGTTTCTTAATCTTTAAATCAAAATTAAGAAGATTCTAATTGACATATTAAATTTTTTTTTTTAATATCTTGTTAATTAAAATATACGGATTAAAATGGTATAATTTTTTTAATCTAATTCTAATTAAATAGCGTTTAACATATTAAAAAACTGATGAGTACTTATAAATCTTCTTTAAATAAATTGGACAAAATTTAACGACCACTTTCAAATCTTTAATTTGCACTTATTAAAAATAATAATCGATTATTTTTTTTAACTGTCTGAATTGCTTATTACGTTGGCTATAAAATAAAATGTCGAAACCTGAGTTTCGATATCAAATAAACATTTATTTTTTGAATTGCAATAAGGATATAAAAATATTGCAAAAATGCGTGCAAAGATCGAAGAAAAAGACAGATACACGGCTCTTGTATTAAAAGAAGAAGGCTATAGCATCAGAAAAATAGCAGAAAAGCTCGGAAGGTCTCACTCTTGCATTATTAACATAATTCAACGATACAAAGAGACCGGGTCAATTAATGATCGTCATAGGACTGGACACAATGAAATTTCAAATGACCGTGATGTTCGCTCGTTAGTGAGATTAATGAAAGAAAACAGATAAGCATCATCTACAGACTTGTCTACGAAATGGACACTGTCAAATGGTCTGAAAGCAAGCCCTAAAACTGTGCGAAGGATCCTCCACAATTTAAATTATTTATGGCGTGCTGCTGCAGAAAAACCACGCTTAAATAAAAAACAAAAACTTGCCAGAAAGAGTGGTGCAAACTACATAAAAATTGGTCAACAGATCAGTGGAGCCGTGTGGTCTTTAGTGATGAAATGAACGTTGAGGTAGACAACAGAAAAGGTCGTGTTATGTTGCGTAGACTTCCAAGCGAACGGTTCGATGAATCATGCATTTTGAAACGAACAAAACAAGGCAGTGGTTCAATAGGCATTTGGGCCTGTATGAGTGCCTGTGGAGTTGGCGTTTTTCATTTATTCGATGGTAGACTCAACAAAGAAAGGTACATCGAAATTTTGGAAAACTCGCTTATTCCTAGCATTGATTGGCAGTTGCAAGATGGATTTATTTTCCAACAAGATAATGCGCCGTGTCATAAAGCGCATGTTGTTAGCGATTGGTTCAATTCTAATAAAATTCAAGTGCTTCCATGGCCTGCCAATAGTCCAGACTTGAATCCAATAGAGAATTTATGGTCGTGGCTTGATCACAAGCTTGGTAAAGAACAACTTTACAATTTGAAAGATTTGAAATCTTCTATCTCTTATCATTTGAAAAATGTGCCTGATGAAGTAATCAAAACTTTAATGAATTCAATGCCAGAACGAGTACAAGAGTGCTTGAAAACAAATGGAAGAACAACACGCTTCTAAAATATTTTTTTATTGCTATTTGAAATTTTTTTGAAACTGGTCTTAAAATTTTGTCCAATTTTTTTTTCGATTTATATTTTTTACTAGTCAGTTTTTTAATTTTTTAACATTATTTTGTAAAAAAATTATAAATTCTTTTATAATAAATATAAAATACAATAAAAATTCTTTCTAAAAATGTTTTTCTTTTTTTGATACCTTTTTCCAAAATAAAATTATACTAAGGTTAAAACTAAAATTTGAAAAAAAAAAGAGTGGTCTTTAATTTTTGGCCACCGCTGTATATATATATATATATATATATATATATATATATATATATATATATATATATATATATATATATATATATATATATATATATATATATATATATATATATATATATATATTTATATATATAGCATAAAAGACTTTTAATTGTAAATTAAAATTTTCTAGCTACAGGCTATTTTTTTTTTTTTTTTGCCTCTATAAAACTTTTAAAGTGTTTTATTTTGCTTTTAAAAAATATTAAAAAAAGGTTCCTGTGGTAGGATTCAAACCACAGCGCTTTGCTTCAGAAACTCTGTGAGCTAACCACTCGGCCACACAGGAGTGTTGGCAAATAAAGATTTTAAAACTATTTTAAAAACAAAAAAATTTATAAAACAGAAATAAATCCTATAGATCAAAATTAAGGAAATGTTGCTGCAATGCAATTTTAAAGTAAAAGTAAAACTGTAAAGCTTGCTACATGTTTTAACATTACATAGTTTGAAGTTTACATAAGTTATATATTTGTATACACTTTTGATCACACTTTCTTAATAAAAAAAAAAAAAAGTGCTGCAACTCTTTCTCGCCATTACCTTGGTTACAATGGCTGCAAAGAGTTCTGAGTCAAACACACTTGAAAGGACACTACTACTACTATTATAAAGTTCAGCATTATGTAGATATCCTTTTTCTTATTCATCAATGATTATCATTATTATTTCTATGTAAAATATTTTCCTTTATGTAAATCATAACTTCCCTAACTTGTTTATTAATTTGCCTCTCAGATAAAACTCTTTCAAAACAAACACATGTGCATACCAGCAACTTCAGTGCCATCAGAATATGTCTTCTCAATTGCTAGAAAATCAACAGCGTGTAACTTAGCTACTTAAAACAGTGGACATGTGGACAAAACAGCTTGTATTTCTAAACCCTAATTTACTTGTGCAACCTGGACTTGTGCAACCTGAATACTTAAAGGGATTCCTAAGTTATTTATTTTAAAGGGATTCCTAAGTTATTTATTTTAAAGTGATCCCAAGGCACTTTGGGGTCACTTTAAAATAAATAAATTTTACAATTAAGTGAAAAAGAACAGCACTAATAAATGACATCATTGAATGGAAATTTTTATTGACTTTTTATAAGTACAACTTTTATAAAAATGTTTTTTTAACAGGTATCCAGGTACCCAGCAGTTTATTCTTGGGTACCCAAGCAGACATTTTCACAATTTTTAACAACCCTAGTTGCGACCTTTACTGTTTTATTTTGAGTATAAAAGGTTTTAAATAATTTTTGACATAGTATTGACCAATAACAGTATCCCTTTTTCAATATCTATACTAAATGAATGACACCTGCTGCTTTGAAAAAGATTTAGAATATGTTTTTACTACAAACCTGACATGTTTAACTACTGTTCTTGCATATTCACATTCATCAACTCCATTAACGACTTTTGTCAGACTTATCTCAAATAAAATTACAACTTACCCTCAGTAACAACATCAGATAATCTTTATAGATTGTTTCTGAATAGAAATAAATGTTCTTTATACATCTCAACTCTAACCACTTGATTGGTTAATTTGTGAGGTATCTGGTGTGATACTTGTTTTTTTGTTTTTTTTAAGTTGTGAAAAATATAATTGAATGTAAAATGGTCAAACAATGCATACAATGCATATAACTTCAATAACAATGTTTCAGTTAGTTTTTAATTGTGAACTGCAATAACCATTTCTTTTCTAATTGTATAACTATTTTAACACAGTTTCTAATACCATATATTCCAAAATTCTATTTTAATTCATCAAATAAATCATTTTTCTAAGATAATTTATAAGTGTTTTTTAACATATCATTATTTTACATTCTATAGAAAAATATTAGATTTTCTGCTTATTCAACCTCCATCAACTCAATCCTCCATTAACAGTTGATTCTTTCTTTTAAATATATGAGCCAGATAGTTAAAAGAGTTCATGTAACTTTTTCTCTAGAATTTGATTTAAACCAAAGTTTTTTTAAATGGCTTAAACCCTGATTTTAAAGAAACTTTATTATGCATGTATTACTATAATATATATATATATATATATATATATATATATATATATATACATATATATATATATATATATATATATATATATATATATATATATATACATATATATATACATATATATATATATATTTATATATATATATATATATATATATATATATATTATATATATATATATATATATATATATATATATATATATATATATATATATATATATATATTATATATTATATATATATATATATATAATATATATATATATATATATATATATATATATATATATATATATGAATATATATATATATATATATATATATATATATATATATATATATATATATATATATATATATACAAATTTTTATTTTAATAAAGTTAAATTACTTGAAGCATGTGATGGCTTAAACCCTGATTTTACAGAAACTTTATTATGCATGTATTACTATAATATATATATATATATATATATATATATATATATATATATATATATATATATATATATATATATATGTATATATATATATATATATATATATATACATATATATATATATATATATTTATATATATATATATATATATATATATATATATATATATATATATATATTATATATATATATATATATATATAAATATATATATATATATATATATATATATATATATATGAATATATATATATATATATATATATATATATACAAATATTTATTTTAATAAAGTTAAATTACTTGAAGCATGTGATTGATTGGCCAGGAGGTTAAAGTGATGGACTCCAGCGGCAAAGATCGAGTCTCAGTCAAGTCATAACATACTTTTTTTTGTTTTAATGATGAATCAAAAATAAATCATACTTAGAGCGGACGTTTTTTAAGGCATCCCTCTTTAGTAAGTCCGTAAAAAACGAGTCTTACTCGAGATCAGTAATATTGAAAACAAAACCTAAAACCCAGTGCCAGGGGTAGGCTACCCATACCCATAAGGTTGGGGGGAGGGGAAATTGAGTTCAAAACCATATAAAAAGTTTATAGTTTTATAGTACTTTTTTAAAAAGCATTTTTAAAAGTGCAAATAAATGCTTTTTTTTTTGCGTATGCTTCAATAAATTTAAATAAAATGCTTAGATAAACTATATTAAAAATTTAATGACAAACAAAATTTAATAAAAATTATTAGTATTAAAAAATATATATGTAACAGCAGTAATAATACTGCTTATACTAAATACATACGGTTTCACTCTGTAGTGCTCAAAGTTCATCAACCCTCTGTTATTGAAGGAAACTAATAAGACATCAGCGTCATCATAAAAGTCTATTTTCATGGGTTTATAAGTAACAACTATAACATTCTTCTCGAACTTCACTTTAAATCCGTCATTATTTTTATTTAACAAACTGTATCTAAAAAATTTATAACTCTTATAACTTTCATCCTAAAAATTTTAAAACTCAATATAACAAAATAAAGAGAAAAAAAATTAAGAAATAAATACTTAAAACGTGAAGGTTCTTTAACTAAAGTCTCAAAAACTACATGTCTGAATCTAATTGGATCAATTTCATTTACACGAATTCTAGCAGTACTTTCATATAAAGTATCGATAGTTAGTAAGAATGTGATGTTAGTGTTTGAATTTAATACTCTTGCTATAATACTGCCATCATTAAACTGTACAGCGTCTGAAAGAATTTCAAAGGGAGAAACCCCTGGTTGAATTCGACGATTACGCCTAAAACAAAAAACAAAAAACTTTTAGTGAAATAATAACTAAACAACATAAAATTGTATTATAAAAATTAATTAGCTATAATGAATTATTTTTTAATGTGTTATAATGTCAAAATGTTAATGAACTATTATCAATACGAATGAGCTAAAAATGAGTAATAATACAACAAACTTGTTTAAACGAATCCCAAATATTCGAGACATGTTGTGTTCATATTATAGTTAATGATAAAAAAAATAAAAAACGTTTGGGCTAAATATTTTTGATTAAAACAAAACAATAAATGCACACCAAGCAAAACTAACTTTTTTTGTTTTAGTTGAAGCTCGCCTTCTCTGTTTTGCTGTATGCCAAATAGTCTTCATAATATATGCTGCAATCTACAGACTTGATAATTTATTCAAGCGTGTTTTATTCCTATGAGTTTTAGTACATGACACCATTGATTTTTTTGTTTGTGTACATTATCAATCTTTGAAACAAATAACAATATCAATCATGTCATGTACTAAAACTCTAAGGAATAAAACGCGCTTGAATAAATTATCAAGACTGTAGATTAGGACATATATTATAAAGACTATATGGCCTCAACAAAATGGAGAAAACAAGCTTCAACAAAAACAAAAAAGTTAGTTTTTCTTGGTATGCATTTATTCTTTTGTTTTAATCAAAAAAAGTTATCCAGAACGCTTTTTTTATCATCCTCTTTAATATGAACACATGCCTCGAAGATTTGATCACTTTAAATACTCAATTCTTAAAATTTAAAAACAAATTGTTGACTTTAAACTACTTAGGGTCTACAAAAGATTGGCAAAATAGTTTAAATACAAAGATTTCTCTATAGGGTCATTCCAGCTCAATTTAATTTATGCTCGGCACCATGTCATCTCAGATTTTGCTGATTTTTGGAATACAAGTTTGAATTAATAAAAAAAAACTTCACTATAAATTTTAATGTCTGACTCCTTACGGTTTCAGAGATATTGATAATTGGTCCCAATCTCTTTTTTGACTTTTTTTTTCAGCGCCATTTATTTTTTAGGCTCATTGCACGACACAATTAGCTTTAACTTATGAAATACTTGTTTAATAGTGGTCAAAATGTTTACCTAACTATTTTTTAGGATGAGGAACTTAAAAATGATGGCTAAAACACACAAAAATTCAAGCTTCTATATAAAAATTCAATTTCAAAATGGTGTAACACTTTTAGTAAGTTTTTTGATGTCCTGTACAAAAAAATGTTTATCTCAAGATGCCTAAAAGATTAAAATCTTGAAATTTTTTCCTAATGTTCTATATGTATCAAACTCCATAATATAAAAAATTTGGAAGGGTTTTTATGCTTAATAGTTAAAGGATTTTCTATTTTCAAATCTTCAAACAATAATTATTTTAAAATTGTTTCTTACAGAACTAAAAAATAATATAAGGAAAGATATTCAATTGGAATAATAAATAAAGAAATTTGTAACAAAAAAACATATGTAAAATCCTATGATATCAAGAAAGTTTCAAGTCTTAATGATGTGAAAAAAGATTTGATTAGTCGTTCTGGCATTCAATTTGATGAAAATGCAATGGTTTGCCTACACCATGAATATTTTTTTAAAACGTTACTCCACAATCCACATAGCTTGTTGTGATTCATTTAATTCACACAATGGAAAAAGAAGAAAAGGTATTATTACCTAACCATGAAACTTTTTCAAAACTTTATTGTAATTATTAATAAATTATATATATTTTTGCAAAATACTCACTGAAGCAGTAATTATCACTCATGTTTTTAGGATGTAAAGAAATTAACATGCAACTTGCTGGGAAATTAAAAAATATTGGTTTTAATGTTATTTCTGGAGAAAAGACATGTCCCTCATGCATGATTAAATTGATATCATTTAAGGATGATGGGCAAAGAGAACCGACTTGTAGACAGATTTATGAAGATAATGAACTTAATATAAATGAATTGTTAAAATTTTATTTCTTTTTTGACAACTATGAACAAAAGTCCTCTCAAAATGCATGCTGTAAATAGTCACTCAAGAGTTGCTCTTGGTAAAAAAAAATTTTACATGTTCAAAAAACAGTAAAGTTAGGTATTGCAAGGACTTTAAATATAGATCCTGAACAGTTAAGTAAGGAAGATTCCTTCAATAAATTATCTAAGGAAGTTAAAGGTAAAGCAAATGACATGGATATACTTATTAGAAAAATCAAAGAAAAAATGTTAATTTCCAATCGTAATCAAAAAATTCAACTACTAACACTGGTTCCAATTTCTTGGTCTTACAAAGATATAGAAAAAGAATTTAATGTTACTAATTATATGGTGCAGATATCACACAAATTGCTGCAGAAAAATGGTATTTTATCTTTTAAAAAAAAAAAAAAAGAAAGGAAATACCTCAAGAAACAGTAGATAAAATTATTGAACTTTATTGTTATGATGAAAATAGCAGGCTAATGTCTGGTAAAAAAGATTTTGTTAGTATAGCTCAAAGATCTCACACGCAAAAGCATTTGATTCTTTCAAATCTAAAAGAGCTATATGCAAAGTTTATAACCTGTTATCCAGATATAAAGAGCTGTTTTTCTAATATTTGCTCACATCTTCCAAAATGGTGCATTACAGTTGGAGCATCTGGTACACATACAGTATATGTGTGCACCTACCATCAAAATGTTAAGTTAATGATTAGTGCAGTTGAATTATCAAAGGATTATCACAAGCTTATTGATATGCTTGTTTGTAGTAGGACAAACAAGTCTTGCATGATACATTGTTGCCTTTTGTGCCCAGAAGATTCTACATTAATACATTATCTTGAAAATGAGTTGTACTCTCAAGACAATATTGATGAAGATGATGATTATTGTATAGATTACAAACAATGGAAAACAACAGACCGATCTGAGCTATAAATTCTAACAGAAACGACAAGTAGCTTTATTTGAAAAATAAGTTACAAAAACTTACTGTTCATTCTATCATTGCAAAAAGTCAAGCTGCTTCTTTAAGAAAGTTAAAAAATGAGTTAAGTAGTACTGAGGTCATTGTCCTTTGTGATTTCTTAGAAAATTACAAGTTTGTTGTACAAAACGAAATACAAAGTTTTCACTGTAACAAAATTCAAGCAACATTGCATCCAACAGTAATTTATTATAAAGAAAATAATGTCCTCAAATGTGATTCAATACGTTTTATCTCAGATGATTTACTGCATGATGTTGATATGGTTTATCATGTGATGAAGCTAACAATTGAACATATTAAAAGCAATATTTCTCATCAAATAGAAATTGTCCATTACTTTTCAGATGGGTGTGGTGGCCAGTACAAGAACTGTAAACACTTTGTAAATATATGCCACCATGAACAAGATTTTGCTATGAAATGTACCTGGTCTTTCTTTGCAACAAGTCATGGTAAATCATCCTGTGATGGTATTGGTGGGACTGTAAAAAGACTAACTTCAATTGCTAGTCTTTATCAAACAACAACAAATCATATTCTTACAGTATCTGCAATGTTTAATTTTTACCAAAAATGAAAGTGGATGCATGAAACTAACTTTCAAGTTAGTTTCATGCATCCATGTTACCCTTTAAAGTCATATTATTGGCATTCAAGAGATGATGTTTGCTGGGTTCTATCAACAAACTTATTGTTAATGATTAATATTCCAACAACTTTTACAGGAAGACAATACAAAATCAGTGAAATTAATCACCAGAGCATTGAAGATAGCTATGCAAAATTTAAACCAGAACTAATTTGTTATCTGTCAAAAATTATTTTTTTTTTTAAATGCCGAAGATTGTTAATTCTTATTAACTTTTAGTTTTAATTTTTCTTATTGCAATTTAATTATTTCCACTGTTAATCAAAAAAATATTGAAATTAATAGTGTAATTTCAATATTTCTTTGATTCATTATTATAAGACTTCAAAAATCAAAATGATCTCATAACAATATAAGAGGTTGACACAAAATGATGAGATTGACACAGAATTGCCAACGTTAGACCTATTTAGGTCAGCAATTAATTCCTAGGGCTGAATGATATATATTTTTAAGGCCAGCAAACAAATTCTGCTGAATACTAGATATCTAAATAAACATTTTTGGGTGAGAAAAATCAATTCTGAAGTCAAAAAATGTTTTGACCCTACCAAGATGGTTAGCAACTCCTACCTATTTTTTACTAAACCCATATTTGACTCCAAATTTCTTTAAATATATTAACCATTACTTCATAATTAATCTATTTAGAATAGAGTTGTACTGGATATTTTTGCCCGATATGCCAGATATTAAACTTATCTAAAGTTTTATAAGTGGTTATGAAGAAAAAACAAGTCTTACCATTCTACATTAAATAGTGTTCAAGATTTAAAAAAATAAAATCAAGAAAAAACTGGTATAACACAGGTATATACGTTAATAATATATAAGGAAAAATTATTTTTTAAATACATTAAAAAATGGTAAGAAAAGAAGACTTTGAAGCTCAAGTAAGTAGAGTATTAAAATTGGAAGCAGAACTTTTAACAAAGGATAAAGAAATTACTCAACTCAAAATATTAGTGAATGATCTGAAGAACCAACCAAGCAACATACTAAATTAAAATGATTGTGCATAGTCCAATGTATTAAAAGGTAAAAAGAGTAACAAAACAGCTCAACTGGATTTAGTCAATGTTGTTGTTAAAGAATCTCTAAATCTAAGACAAAAAAAACTTAATAGTCTTTGGATTTAATACCTCTAAAAACAAAATATATTTTGTATCCCTAATGAAAACATTAGGGATACAAAATATATTTAATCAAATTATCCAACGTGTTTTCAAACTAAGTACAAAGTCAGACAAGCCACCACCAGTAATTGTTGCTTTAACCAACAAAGAAGAAAGAAATATTGTACTAAAAACAGCCAAAACCCTACAAAAATTTACCAGAAACTAATAACATATTTATTAATGCAGA